GTGTCTTCCAAAATTTATCTTGGTGGGTTTTTCAAAGATCGGATATACTAACAGCTTAACCTCAGCTTGTGAGACGATAAAAAAGAAAACAATTCCGTAGGTTTAATTTGAAGTTTTAAAGTATCAGGCAAAAATCGAGTGTTTCCAAAATATCTGAACAATTACAGATCAGTTAAATGTTTGTCTGCTGCACATTGATTGGATGAAGCGTTGATAGCGAAGTGTGTCTTCCAAAATTTATCTTGGTGAGTTTTTCAAAGATCGGATATACTAACAAGTTAATCTCGGCTTGAGCTATAGCTGCGAGACAGGGTAAAATTGAACATAGTACAAAAAAAAATGATGTCTTAGTAGTAATACGTATATGATATGATAAAGATATACTGACAATGAAGTAAAATATTAATGAAGTAAATTATTCACAAGATAAATGTATACGTTAGCTTCTAACTGCTAGTATGACATCAAACGAAGAGAAAAAAATTTCTGTAATACTAGATGATGCCACATGTATCAGTCGATCGTTTGAGAATAACTTATTCTTATCAGTTTGAAGTAACAAGTATTTAGTATCAGTTCCAGTTTCCTGGACATTGACTCTAGTACAAAGTATTGAAAATAGAAGACAGATGTAAAATATGTGAGAGAAAGAAAGACAAAATAGAGAGATGGAGGGAAAAGGATACATAACTATGATTTTTCGTTTAGTTTTTTAAATACAAAACTCTAATTTTTATAAATTGTCAAAATGATTATCAACATTTATGAAATCAATTTAAATTTTTAATCACATCCTATTTGAAATTGTGTAAGTTTTCATTTTAGTTCTTACACCATTATTCATCATCTTTAATAATTTTTCAGTTAAATTTCTTTTATTTTCAGTATTACTTAAAATCTTGAGTCGAATAAGTTGTTAATACACATTCTATAATATATTTAAATATAATCACCTTTCGTGAAAGAACTGATCACCAGTTACCGTTTTCTTCGTAATCAGAATGTAGAAAGTTGATGCTCATTTATCTTGTTTTTTTATACTGTAATAAACTTATCTAGTTCAGTACCCACAGACGATACTGCCATATTTTCTATAGAAACAATACACGTATAGAAAATCTTTATTCGACAGTCTTTAATGTTTACAGCAAATCAGCATGATTTTAAAACTCTAAGGGGGCTCTGTTTGTGGCTCTATAGTTTCTTTTAAAAGAAAAAAGGTGCTTCCTATAGTAGTAGGAACATTTATATTGAAGGCCGTTGAACAAAGATTCTCTATACATATATTGTTTATGTGGAAAACATGGTAGTATCGTCTGTGGGAGAGCGACTTGACTCCTCATTACGATACCAACACTTTTTTTGTTAGCTGAACGAATTCTCAGAGTAGAAGCCATTTGTGTTGAATAGGCCATGATAAACAAATCTAGAAGATAATAATTACGCAGATATTTTTTCAACATCTAGAAGCGATTTTTTAACAACAAAGTTTTTAGGAGTAAGTTAAACTCTCTAACAACAGCTTGCTTTTTATTTATCGAATGAAGCAAATTCGAATGTTTTAAAAGAGAAATAAAGTCAAAAAATCCACCATTAATATTTTGATCCACGGGCGCCCATGCAGATCTCTAGTTTTGACGTTATAAATAACAACAACAATAACGAAAACAAAATACAATGTTTTACATACAAAGTTATATATTCAACGAAAACAAAATAGCTAGTCTTCGCGATAACAGACAAAAAATAAATAAATAAATAAATAAAAGTACTGCACATAAAAAATGTTCTAAAAAGAAATATGATTTGGAATGAGTTTGATCTTTGACTAAGGAATGTTTCTTGTTTTTGATTATTCTTAGTTTTTTATCCGTCTGAGATTCATCCGTATTGTTTATTAGCTATCTGTTAATATGAGATACTGTCCGTATTATTGATAGCCACACTGAGTATAAATTTTCTAATTTGAATTTAACTAGGGAGCCAATATATCATCGTCACCACGTAAATCAGATCCATGGTCGTCAAAAAAATAGCCGGCTTTTGGCGTCGACGTATTACAACGGCAACAAAAATCGCAACCATCCTAGATAAAGAGACAGAGGAAAAATACTTATTATTCTAGATACTATCCACACGGTACGACATATGCTGAAACGAAAAATACTTTGTTACACATCTAGATTGATAATACAAAAACGAGATTTAAGTGTTTCAGTTCGGAGATTATTGTTCAGTTCGGAGGTTACTTTTGTTTTAACTCACTATCTGTCAACGTTCTCGAGATTTTACATAAACTCAGTTTTCTACCGGACTGTAGGGATCAGACGTTGTCGAAAAAGGGTCGTTGGAATCTACGTTGTTTTTTATCTATAGTTATGCTTTAAAACTAAATTTGAATGAGAATTTCTTATTTTGCCAGAAAATGATTCATCCGTTTCGGGAGGATTAAAAAAAATGAATTTTCTCAGCAAGAAAGTGAAATGAAAATACCGATTCGTAACTTTTTTTCTTGGCGTTCAGCCGGTTATAATAATATAAAAAAAGTCGCTCTCTGTCTGCTGACTAAAAATACTTGATTAGTTTGCAAACTGGCACAGAGGCAATCCCACTGAATCAGCTGGGGCTCAAAGCTGTTAATACCCCATTATATTTGAACAACAATGTTTCTAGAGTCAGTTTTTGATGCCAAGTAAGAAAGACCTGTTTGAAAGGGGAGCACTTAGAGAACCTTTGAAGAAAGGGAAATGGCGAAATTTTTTTAAATATAGATCGATTTTTCTTCCTCAACATTTTTTCTAATAATCTGAAATCAGTGTTTTTTTACTCAGCTTCACGAGCTCCATCCAACCATGTATAAATATCACGAAAAAAAATTTTGCTCAACGTTTTAATCACCGGCGCCTTATGAACGAAAAAGCGTATAGAAAAAAATCTGAAAACAAAGCTGGATTATTGTCTCAAGTATCTGCGATAAAATTTTCAGTCCACTTGAATAAATCAACCAATGATAGGACATAGAGAAAAATTTACAGACATACTTCACACATATATTTGCTTTTTTTACGTCAGTTTCTAAGTAAAGGTTTATCAGACAATAAATTGTCTATTGTTCCTCAAAAACTGAACCCATCCAGGATCATATGCAAATACATGCGTTCATCGGATGCACCATGATCATTTATATTACCCATGCAAATTTCCACTTTCTTCCAAAATTTGCTAGTTTTAAGAAGATTTTTCAAAAGACGTTTAGAGAAGCCTGTATTACACACAGAAAACGATTTTTTTAGAATAAAAACTAGGCCATCAGAAAGGGGAGATCCAGTAATACGTAAATTAGTTGAAAAAAAATTTTTCTTCTTAAATAAAAGCATATGTATTATTACCGCTGCTAGATGACCTAATTTCATCCACATGTCACGGTGTGGTATTAGTTCGAGACCTCTTGCTCCACGTATAAATTTCATGTATAGAAGTCCACCAATAAGATAAACACTTGATACGATGAGTAAAATAATAACAAATATAGCACCAGCACTCATTTTTTTCTTTGCTTGTTTTGGGCATAGTTCGGGTACTTCAACTTGAAATACATACGAACAACGAGGTGTACTCATCGTATAATTTAACAGCGGTGTGGCAGCTGACTAAAGAACAAGAAAACACAACAAATCACTCCCATGAAAACGAGAATAATTTATATCGTTTACCGAATTTTGTCCACAAACAAATATTAGTGTTGCAGACGTTTGGTTATTGCAAATACCGATATCATTTTGATCATTTCTGTAGGTTAACATTAACCACGTGTCTAAAGACGGGAAAAAGAAATCTAAATAAGATTAACTTATGACTTTTTTATCGATCGTACCTGTTGCAACTAAATCAACATCCTTCAGTTTTCCAATAACAAGACTAGCACCTGTGATATTCTTCTTGTCTTTTAAAACAATAGCTGCATCCGGAGCCAACGTTGAATTTGGTTTCACACATATACCAATATCAAAAATACTTGTTACAGTAGAAGCAGATATACTAAGAAGAAATAGAAAATAAGAAGACATTGGAATTATCTTTTCTTTTGACGATCTTTTGAAAAAACAGCACAAAAAATATGAGAAGTTATAATTATGATTATTTTTCACAGCGCCTAACTATTTGATGAGTAATAGCGTAGAATAATTATACCTACGTTTTTTTGTATACCGATATCCATTTTGCTAATTTATTGTTCAAAATATTTCTTTCATTTGTATCCGTAGTGCTTAATTCACAATCACTAACTACAAGATATAGTCGCATAGTAATTGTAAATAATATGAGGAACGTTTGATATATCATCATCTACAAAAACATCAGAAAAACAGACATACTCTTATTGCCGTTAAATGTATGACATATTAACGTTTACCTGCTTTTACCGCAATTATGCAAGATTTTTTTTCCCTCAAATTTCAAACATAACAAAAAGTAACAAAAAATCTATACTTATGCTTGCGCTCATCGTATAGTATTAATGTTTTCGTTTCAAAGTAAATCTTAACAGTTAGAATAGTTTTCAAAAACAGTAGAAACACATCTGTATGATTTCGTCGGATTCATAGGCAGGAGTACATTATTTTGCTTTGTGGAACTACCCATACATTTTGTGATTCTCAGCAGAATTAGTTTCGTCACTTTGCTAAAAGATTTTCAAGGTACGTTTTAGTGAATTTTGGAAACATTTTTTAAAAGTCAGTTTTTCTGTGCCATACTTAGTGCTTTCGGTGAACGGATCACTACAAGTAAAGACTAACTGAAATTAGATTTTATTTTACATCGGTTTGTACAAAATTGAATAAAGATTCAAGGAAGGCTCGGTTTAAAAGTTCGAAAATTCATCTCTTACTTTCAAAACTGGTAATTAATGCTAACTGATTGATCTTCTATCTGTGATCAGACAAAGGATAATATTTCTATGAAAGCTAAATAAAACTGAAACTCGAAAGAATGTTTCCAACACTTTTAAATGCAAAAATTATTCATTATTCAAACTTATCATTAGACGAAAAAGAAACCTGCTGAAAGAACATAGCGAACAGAGATTTAACATTGTATCAGAACTTTTTAAGTGATATTTTGTTTTGAATTTCTTCTCGATGAACTTCTATGAGAGAAAAATTTGTTTAGTACACCTTGTGTAGTTCAGACTTTACTCTTTCAAACAAAACAAAAAAGCCAAGTCTTCTGAATATCGAGAACATGAAAAAACAGCATCCGACATTTATTGTCAAGCTGATGCATACTCCGTTAGTGAGCCTAGGCGTATCAACAAGAAAAGGATCGAGTATATTATTACAGCCTTAGTAATATAAAGAATTTGTTTATCAGATGATGATAAAAGGTTACGCGGCTCCTAGAGGTGCAGAATCTTCCTCATGCGACCCCGCGCGAGGAGGGAGGAAATTTTTTGAAAAATTGCATTATCCGGGGAAGTTTTGGAAAATTATCACTGGGGAAATTTCAAGAAAAAATTTTCAAAATTACGGCAGATTCTGCACCTCTGACGGCTCCTACCGTAGTGTGAGAAGAAAGACATAAACTTAACAAGCAACGAATATAGTTAACATTCACTACTTCTCATCTTTAAAAACAGATTAGTTTCACTTCTAACTCTCAGCTAATATTAAATATTCAGATTAAAAGCAAAAAAGTCGAAAAATAGACTTTAAGATCATATCTATAACATCTAGAAGACACTCTGAAACCCAGATGCAGTCTAACAAGAGTGAGAAATAGAATTTCTTCTTTAAGCACAGTATATCAGAATGGTCGTTTTAAATACTATGTCTAGTGAACAAATTCGACAACTTGCAAATTTTTCTTGAAATATGGCTAGTTTCTCAAGTTGTTCTGGTAGAATTTTGATTTCCTCCATAGTGTAGATTAGAGCTACTCATCTTTGTCTGATAGAATTTAAAAGTTGAGTACGGTACGGTAATTTTATTTTCCAACGGATTATTATTAGTGGATATTAGTTAAAATTTCATATTCCACAATACATACATATGTACACACACCCTTAAATAGGAAGACCACAGTTCTTGCTCTATAGTAGTATATACTGCAGTCAAATAAATATTAGATTGTTTCTTTTTTTATCTATAGTGATGTTTTATCTATGCATCTGCATTGAACGTTGCACAAAACAGACTAAACATTCAAAAGTTATTTCGATAAGGAAATTTGTACATATGACAATGTGTAATAAAACCATATATATATTTTTTTTGTTACAAGTTTATAACGTTCACATATAGATCAAAAATATGTTCTATAAATGATAAGATGTATACGTGTTAAAAAGAAAAAATAATACTATGACTACTTTTGTTTGACAATTATGCAAAAGTAAGTGATCATTCAATATCTATATGACAGGTTATAAAAAAAAATTTAATTTATTTTGTTTGCTAATAAAATAGAACTATTTTGAACAAAATCATATTTTTCTATTGGTAAGAAGTTAAAAAACCTAGTATTTTTAGTTTTAAGTGTAACGCACGGTCTAGGGTACCGACTGCCTAAAATTTTCATAGAGAATATTGACTATACAAAAAATATTTATATTTCGTCTTAGAAAATTTCGGAGTTCTTTTTTCGTTCTATTTCGTAAAGGATCGGTGCGAAAAACGAATTACTCAAGTACGTAAGTTTTACTAATATGTTTTGTACTAAGGTCTAACGGTGGCACATGATGAATAAAACTGTTTAAAACTACTGATTTTCAAAAAAAATAACATTTTTTTCTCTCATTACCATAGAAACAATGCTTAATATGGTCTCCTAGTGTAGAAAGTCATCCGCCTAATCGGATGAATTTCATTTAAAAATTCTGCCTGCAGTCAATGAGAAAATCGTAATAACTGATAACTTTCAACCGCAGAGGAACTACCTAAACAAACTTGATATTGTTATCTATTTTCTATTTAACCTGTTCTTACATATTCTGTTTAGACATAAGGTGTTCGTAAACAATAATTTCTTGCAGTTTTATATGACCTGAACCGATGAAAGATATTAAAGACGTGATTCGACAAAAAGTTGATAATAGACATTGGGCACTATTTGAAACACGTTTAAAACAGCAGCAACAATCATTCAATGACCATAAATTAAATTATACAAAAGAAAACAATTCTTTTATACATCATCGATGCAATGCTGAACGAAACATAATTTTATCAAAAAAAATTCATTCCAATATAACAAGACGATGGAAAGATTTCTTTGAAGAATTATCTCGTACAACAACGGACAAACATATTCTATTAAAATTATTTCAAAATGTTTGGTTTAAAAATTGGAACACTACATCAGACAAAACATTACCATCGAATAATGAGAATATCCCACTTCTTCAACAGTGGAATCTCTTTTGTCAACGAATATCTTCTACAGACAATGATAGAACAAAAATACTGAATATTTTATCTAACGTGTGGTATACAAAGCCTATAGAAACTGAACGCTATTGAAAAATGAAAAATACAGGAGAATATTTGCCTCCTTAATTTCACAAAGAAACTGTATTCATTTTCTATTTTGTGCACAATAAATGTTGAGAAAACGCCACTTCGACTGCGTACACTGACTACCATATTTTATATCCTCGTGGTTTTGTTAATAAAAGAATTATAGAAACAAAATTGCCATTTCAAGTATTTAAAGTAATACTCCTAGTTATTACGATTCTAAATTGAATCTTCTGATCTCCTAAAAATGCTAACAGTCGAAAATAGATGTCAAAACATTCAATTAAGAAAGGTAAAGGGAAAAGCGCAGAAAAAAATCCAAAAAGCGGACGGAAACCCTGGTTATAATGCCACAAAAAAGGATAAACGTTTAACCTCTCCATAAAGTCCGCCTTCGATTTGATATAAACTGTAAAAATAACTTGAAGGAAAAACAATGAAAAATGCACAGTAAAAGTAAAAAGTTTAACATTTAGCCTCCAATAAGACGATGGCACGTTTTAACCGCGACGTCATACTCTGAGAGCAAAAGCGGTTGAAACATATCTATTTTCTGCTGATTAGATAAAAAACAAAATAATTTGGATGCTATCCGCTTTTTAATTCAAAGAATGACTGAAAGCATGACACTACTCCCAATTCAGTAAAAAGTCGCTCAGGTTTACTCTCATTTTCGAAAACAAACGTATATTCGCTCAGAGGTAGGCTTCCCGTTACCGTTCCTGGTAACTGGAACTAATCACTAGTTACTGTTTTCTTCATAATACAGATGTAGAAAAGTTAATGCTCATCTATCTTGTTTTTTATACTGTAAAAAAACTCATCTAGTTCAGTTCCCACAGACAATACTGCCATATTTTCTATAGAAACAATATACGTATAGAAAATCTTTATTCTACAGCCTTTAATGTGATGTTTCTATACTATGGGAAGCGCCTTTTACTGTTAAAAGATATTATAGAGCAACAAACATACGCTTAGAGATGTAAAATTGTGTCGATTTGAAGGAACAGTAATCGGTGACCATTTCAGTTACTAGAAACGGTAATTGGTCACCAGTTCTTTTAACCAGTTATTAGAAACAATGGAAACTGCAACTGGAACTGGAACCCTACTTAGAGATCGTCGTACCACTGCTGAACAAAACTGTATAGTAAAACAGTTCAGTTAAAAGTCTGACACAGACACAAACACAAAGAAAGGCTAACAGTGTTTATCTATTGCACATGCTAAAGTTCAAAGTTCATCTGGTCGTTTCTTAAAGCCGTATCCGAGTGTCTTTTGGGAAACTTCTTTATAATCTCGAACGATCAATAACGTTGTTTCATACATGAATACCCATCAGAACAAATGATTTACTCACTTCAGCAGAAGAATTTCTCAATTTACAAAGTATACCCTTGATGTATCGTCACTCTAATTGTTTAACAACGCTAAATATATATCATTGATATCGTAAGAAAAGGGGCAAAATTTTTCGGTAGTATCGTCACGGTTTATCGACGCATTGTCACATGATTCATTTTGTAGCAGATATAGGTCCCCTAGCGAATGTACTTGACGATAGGTACCCGAGTGCTTTCATTTTTCTTAGGTACCTCCTGCTATATGAATGTCATAGGTGCTTGAATTTTCTTAAGTAAATATTACTTGAGAGGCACCCAATTACTTGTACTGAACGCAGCATAGGTATCAGTTATTTTCCGGTCACTATTTTATTTCGCGTTCAGACAATATGTTTACAGGAATGACGTGCGTTTTTATCTTCAGTTGATCACCTAAAATGGCTGACTGTTTTGTTACCCGCTAAGTAATACTTTACTTGCAAGCACTTATGACATGTATATTGACTAGGGTTGATTAGATTGTCATTGATGGATTTCAATTTTTTCCAACAAAAATAATAAGTATCTTATTTTTCGATAGCAACTAATTGGAAATATTTCTGGCCAATCAAACTGTTAAATGTCGTCCACAATGAGGATGTCACTGTGCGTACGGTTTTCAGAACTCATCACATGTTCATTTAACATTTATTTTCACGCTGATTCTGATATTGACCAAGATAAGACCAAGAAAGAATTATTCATGAAAATTGAGGCTCATCGAAAGTCCTGGAGGTCAAAACAGGTATCCGATAACTTTTCTTCCGGCAATCGCGATGACGGCTGTCAGCTGCTTTTAAGCTGAAAATTTCATTATTATTTAATAAGTTGACAGTTGCGGTTGTCAGAGAAAAAATTATCAGACATTTCCTATCCCTTGAGTCTGCTCTTCGCGCTTTTCGTTTAAGCTATTTAAAGAAGAAAGTATATATAGAAGGTCATATAGGTCATAGGTGGCTCCATTTGTCAACTTATGCTTATCTTTTCTTCCCAGGTCGACCAAAACGGACATCCGTTACGGATCGTAACATCATTAAAATAGAGCCGTATACGGCCGTATTTTCACAGTATACGACCCCGTATTATTGTGCCCAGAAACGGTACCGTTTACGGGACCGTATATTGTGAAAATACGGCCGTATACGGCTCTATTTTAATGATGTTACGGTCCGTATTCCTGCGTCTAGTAGACGGTCCGTATATTGACCGTATCGTTCGACCTGGGTTTCTTTCTTTCTTCCTCTCATATAGATTCTTTTAACCCTTTTAGGACGGGATTATTTTTTCAAAAAAAGCACAAGTAGTGACACCCCTGTAACTCAAGAACCATGATAGCCAAGGACGTCTAATTTTGTGTGGTCATAGCTCTTACCAAATGCTGATCACCCACTAACTTTACACCTCTTTTACGGGATGGTTCGTGCGACATAAACGATTTATTTTTTTCCGTAAAGCAGTAATACCTCCTGACCTAAGAGAGATGAAAACTTGTTCTTTTTACTTTGATTATTTTTCTTAAACGACTATTCGTTGTTTCTCTTGTTTAGTTTTGACTAAAATAAAAAGTTGACAATAGAATGAACAGTTCTATCGTATATAAATAATCCAGAGGTGCATAATCTTCCTCGTGCGCACCCGCGCGGGTGGGGAAATTTTTTGAAAAGTTGTTCTACTGGGGGAAATTTAAGATACAACAACCTGGGGAAATTTCTGGAAAAAATTTTCGTGGGTGGGGAAATTTTTTATTTTTTGGAAGATTTTGCACCTCTGAAATAATCGTTTACTTACTCTTCGAGGTCATCAACACATTATTGTATATCATGAAGTTCATCGAACAACTCTCAATTTCTTTTTCAATTTTTATTAACAGTACACTCATTGTCATATTCAGACACATATAAATTGAGATTGTCTAGTTTAACTAACTGTTCACAACTGTGTTGTTCTTT